AAAAACACACAACCATGCAAAAAAAAAATAATAATAATAATAATAATCAGATTTCACAAAAAAATAAAAAAATTGCAACTGTGCGTTAAGGCCTGCAGCGTGAGCGTAGCCTGAGAGACGTCTAAATTTAGATTTTTCTCCTCTTTTTTCTCAGTTCCTCTGAAGTTGAAGCTCTTCCTGCCACCCAGGAACATCGTCGGCGTTCACCTTCATCGCAAACCCTCCGACTATGAAAATATGCAGTCAGAGTCACCTTTCCTCTCACCCTCTCTTTGCCTCTCTCGACCTGCCAGCCTCGGCTTGGCTTCCTCCCCGCTCCGTTCTCTCTAAAGGTGAACGGTAGCGGTCACTGTCGGCAGATTTGCCCACAAAATTGAATCAGCCAGCAGGTCGGGGGGCCAGGAAGGCACAAGTGCCAAGCTCGCTGACGCTGATTTAATTTTGTGCATATTGTGTGCGTCCGGATTTGTGTCTGTGTGTGTTTCGTATGTTTCCACCCTGCAGAGAAATGCTGCAGGCCGGTTTTATTTCCGTCTGAATGTGAGGAAACGTTTTGTCAGGCAAGAAGAAGAGGGACAAAAACACTTTCCACACCCTGCCTGTGTTGATCACCACTCTGAGCTGTTTGCTGTGTAATAAAACCTCCAGAACAGATTATTATGTTCTCTGATTGTGGAGAATTATTTTTTTGTTTTGTGAGAAATTCTTCTCATTTTATGGCGATATCTGTGTTGAAATCTCAGTTTTCTGCTCTCCAGTGCGCCATTGTCTAATAATCGCTTAGCAACCCTTGAAAAGAGGTTTTTGTGGAGGTTTGGACCCTCAACAAAGCGCTGAGCAGTTAGGATCTGCATTTAAAACCTCAGAAATGATGCTTTCCTGTTCATTTGAAGGAGTTTTCCACAGGGCTTAGAATTAAAAGCTCCTATTTTTTCATATCAGATCATATTTTAATTGAAGACATTACAAATGACAGAAAATATATTTAAAAAATTTCTTCTGTAAGTATTAGGGTCAGAGTATGACAAATTTTGTTTAATTACAAATATAGTCATAAAATTAGCAGAATAAAAAAAAAATTATCAGAGAAATATCTTAATTTGTTGTTTTAATCAGGAAAAAGATTCTAGGTTTACTGAGATCTGAAGTGTTTCTTTCTGAGTCCTGCTGCTGCTGCTAATTTATGTGTTAAAATATGAAGTATTTTCTTATTCGTAAATACAGTCTTAAAGTGTAATTTTTTAATTTTTGTTTTTTGTGTCCAACTAATCAAAAATTACTACTTTCTTCTGGTAATATTATGAGTTTATTGTGTTATTATTTGGATTGTATTGTTATGCAAATGTATTGTAGTTTTACTAAGTAAATTGTAGCGTAGCCTTAGTACTTCATCGTAAAGTTGATTCAAATTCAAACTCCAAATAAATAGAAGCTGGAAAACAAGATGGCCGCCCTGAACTGGGCTCTGAACTACAGAAACCCAGAGAATATATTGGTGGGGAAAAAAAATATCAGATTTTCTGAAAAATAAATCTTCAAAAACCAAAAGTTTGCCTAATAAATTAAATTAATTTACCACCCAGCTCTAGTTTCCACAGATATTTCAGTTTGTTTTTGATAAATTCCAATATTTTAAATGTTGGAAGGCCTCCAGCCAATGACCCTAATGTTTAATTCACTCCACTGGTTCTCTGTCAGGACTCTGAAACTAACATTTCTTCGATTCAGATGTTGATCAAATTAAAAACACGAGTAATTTTGAACTTAATTCAATTTTGTTTTTGAGTTAATCTCTGAAATATAAAGATCTGTTTTACTTTAAAGCAGGGGTCCCCAAACTACGGCCCGCGGGCCGGATCCGGCCCGCCACCTCATTTGGTCCGGCCCCCTGAACAATACCGGATCCGGCCCGCCTCCTCATACCAGAGAGCATTCAGTGTTTTTTTTCATATATTGTATTTTCCGGTTTATATGTGGATTTTTCTTCAACCACCAGGGGGCTTTTGAGCAAATGTGAAACTTACTTTTCCTCAATGGAATATATACTAGTCCCAGTCACCGTTTCGCTGACGGTTTTTTCCATTTGCATTCTGGGTAAAAACCGCTCTAAAAACGCGAATATGTCGTCGACCGTTAGCCCCCCCCCCCGGCTTGAAAGACCGGCCCCCAACCACAAAAGGGAACACTTATGTGGCCCTCGCAGGAAAAAGTTTGGGGACCCCTGCTTTAAAGGAATGCTCTCATGTCTTTCCAGTTTTGCAGCTCCTACAGGTCTTCTTTATTCATGTTTTCTAAATGCAGACAATACTTTCGACGTCTTTATGTGTATTTTATGTATTTTTTAGGGTTCGGGTAGATATCTCATTGTAATTTGAGTTGAATTGTAATCAGAGACCCAGAAACACAAAGCAGAGGCAGCAGTGCAGCAAATGTCTGAGTTGGAAATACAAAAAGGTCATCGACATAAAATAACATCACTAAGGTTGGAATAATTACTTGTCATGTTGTCAAAAGGTGCTTTCCTGGGCCACAATTGAAAATATCAAGTGACTAAGAAATGAAACTACTACAATTAAAATTAATTACATGTCATGCAGTCAGAAAATGCAGAAAAAAAGTACAGTAAAAAAATATCAACTTGCTCATTACAATAGTTTTTCCTCTTACAGATTTTATTTGTACTATATTGTCAATTTTGCTGTTGGAACTATGGAAAGAAATATTTCAGTTAAATTTAGCTAATAAATACTTTATTCAACTCAAAGGGAAATTTAAATGTTAATTTATACTAACCAATTTTCTTCAGAGTTGCTGTTGATGGCAGGAAGGATAAATCCCATTGGTTAGTTGGTCACTTAAACCAACTGACCAATGGTTAAATTTTTACCATCCCTGTCACTGTGATGGTAAAAATAAAGAAAATATTGAGTCTGCAGCTGATTTTGTCTCAAATTTTTGTGATTGGTTGACAAAAATCTTGAGAAAATGAGTAAATGGAACACAGTCCCGTTTTTTGTTGTTGTTGTTTTTTACAGTCTTCTTCAAGGGTTTTTGTGTCGTTTCCTTTAGTGGTTTTTGGTGCAGCGCCACCACAGGCGAGGAGGGGAACAGTTTTTCAACGGGTTTAACTTATTTGGCACAGAGTAAAAGAGAAGCACAGCTGAAAATGTAACAAATGTTGTAGCTTTGGTCCCAAACAGAACCGATAGTCTACTGGGCTATCAGGTGTTGAAACATAAAGATTTTTAACATCAAATCTGATTCAAATTTCTTTGTAAAATTTCTGCATTATCGCAGATTTCAAAGTCACAGCAGGAGGAAGTTGAGTTGCTGAAGAAATTATTTCCTTTTGTTGTGAATCTGAGACAGAAACAGAACGAGAGAGAGAGAGACAGGCGTCTGCCACGGAGAGAAACAACCAACACCCAGACAAAAAGACGATGAAAAAGGAGATAAAGAGAGGCGCCTCAGGCTGTCAGGAGGACCAAAACAAACACCGGGCTCCATGTCGCCGAAGGGCCCGCTTCAGCCTGACTGACACTAAATTAGACCTTCCTCTGCTCAAATCAGAGCTACAAAACACTGTCACAACATCAGCTCCACAGCTTCTGATTTACTGCCTTTTCTCTTTCCACCTCACATTCATCCCTTTTTATCCTGCCTCGGCACCACCTTTACATCCACCCTACAAGCCCCTCTCTTCATTGATTGTGCTGCCCTCTTCACCCCTTCTCTCTCATTCATAATTGAACAGCATTAACTGCAGCGGAGGCCGAGCAGCGGTTTAATTAGCCGCCCGGCCTGCAGAGACTCAGCCTGTACTTTCACTGCTGCAAAACATACATTTAACCGTAGCCCAGAATTCAGAATACCGAGAATTGGTCCTGGGAGTTGAAGGGAGGCTCTAATTTATTGGTGTTATTAGGCAAAAGTTCCATAATGACCTTTCAGGATCATGTAATTGAAGTGGTCTGAGTCTTCCAGCTTTGCTTGGTTCTTTTACAGGCTTAAGGAGAAATCTGAACCTTGATACGGCCATCTGAGATCTAAACTTCACTTAAAGCCTGTTTTGGCTCCTTGAGGACTCCAAAATCAAGCCCAGATATCGCACCTGAAAATATGGGGGAAAGAATCAGGGGAGTGATTTTCAGTTGCTTCTCTCATGCAACAGTTTAGAAGAAAATAAATAATTAATAAAGCAAAAATAATTAATAAACTGGCAAATATCTGTGTTTTCGTGTTTTTGCACATTAAAATGATAACAGACAGGTTACTAGCTCCTGCTGTTAGCTGACTCACAGAAACATTATGTTAATTCTCCTACAATTAAAAAAAACAAACACTTCTAATGTTCACAAAAATTATGAAGGATTAGCTATAAGTGCTAATCAAAAGACCAGAGTAAGAAGCTATAATTAAAGATCAGCATTTTAACACAAAAATTACAGTAGACAGGTTACAAACTATTGTTAGCTTAATTGTGTAGTACACAAATGATGCAGAGAAACGCTGTCAAATATTCATAAAACTATAATAAAATGCTTCTAAAGTTCATCAAATAATGAAGGGTTTTCTACAAGATTTAGTTAGTAAACCAAAGTAAGGTAATATAATTAAATATCTGCATTTTAACATGTTTTCTCACACAAAAATGAAACAGACAGGTTACCAAGAACACAACTGACACACAGAAATGCTATGTCCAACTACTCATAAAACTAAAAAATGCATTTCCTATAAGAGCTAATTAATAAACCAAAACAAGAAGACATGGCTAAATATCTACATTTCAACATGTCTCCTCACACAGAAATGACAGTAAACATCTTACTATCTTCTGCCGTTAGCTTAACGGCTATTAGCTAGTACACAACTGACACACTGTGCATCAGTTGTGTAAACGTTACGTCTAACTACTCATAAAGTTCACAAAAACAAAGAATGATTTAATCTAAAATATCTTAACATTGTACAGACTATGATATTTTGATCAGCATTACCTGAAAATAGGGGGGAAAGACTCGTGAGGGATTTCTAGTTGCTTCTCTTATGCTGCAGTTTAATACAATGAGAAGACAGCGCGAAAGCCCCCTACTGGTGACTGGTGGTCACTACCAATCAATCCCAGAAAAGGCTTACGAGCTGATTACCGATGTATTGATTGTAATTTTCTTAAATAAAATGATTCAAACATTAATACAACAAAAAATATGTATATATTAAACATTTTTAATTTTTTATTTGCATTGTTTTTAGGCTTACATGAATTGATATTTATTCTGAACCTTTTTTTAACTGTCAACTATTTTAATATGAAATAAACTGTATAAAATATTTTAGAACTGCACTGGAGACATAATAGTTTTTCAACTTACCACACATCTCACATATGACCCTTAAAAATGACTCTATACTGTCAGATTGGGGTTTTTACTTTATTCTCACTTATTAATCAGGCCATTTTCTTATTTGACCCATGAGGTAAAGAAAGTATTAAATCCAGTGCATGAAGCAGACATGACAGTGCGATGATAAAACATTGACAGGTAGTTTTTCATGGCGCCGGCTTATAGACATTCTGAGTGCTGCACCAGTTTGTCCAAAACGAAAAGTGACACACCTGGTTGTGTAACTAATGAAAGACAAGAGAGCTGGAGAGCAAAGAGGAGAATCTTCCTCATTTTTCTTCGAAGATGCCAGCTGAGACACCCACAAGCAGCCGGTCTGTTACTTCTCAGACAGATGACAGAATCAAATGAAGACAAAAAATAGCACTGACACCTTCAGTTCACGGAGATGGAAAAAATGAAATCAGTGACAGTGTGCCCTCAGAGCACGGCGGCAATATTTTGATGGCTGATAGACCCCAGAAAACACCAAACTTAAATAAAAATCTGAAACTCCACACAGATCTTTCCCTGGATGATATATTCTATATCTCAAATATTATATTTACTCACTCAAAACACTCCAAGTCGAACTGTCTTGGCTTTATTCGCAGAATTTGTGCAAACAAGGAATTTGATTTCAGCTTCACTTTGCTCTCATTGAAGACATTTGAAATGTAATGAAGAAAACAGGTTTTTTTTCTTGTAAATATGTTTATATACAATAGGAAGATGAGGCTGAATCAGTGTAGATATGGATGGTATCGAGCGGTTTGTGCTCAATAGAGAAACAACCTTGACGACAGATATTATTTCTGTGGCAGCTGGTTTTTGAAAACAACGCTCCAAAGTTTGGCCATTTATGGCCCCCTGGATGATTTTGTTTTGTCACTTCAAAATTCAAGAAAGGAGAAAATTAATTGGAGACAAATAAAATCTTCAAACATTTATTCACATAGGTAAAAGACATAGGTTGTTTTGTTTTTTTCTATTAAAGGTGACCTACTATGGAAAATTCTAATTTCTGCTTGTTTTTGTGCTTCCATTTGGGTCTCTAATGCTTCTGAAAACAGCCCAAACGCTTAAAGAAAAACTCATAGCCAGTTTTTGGAAATAAATTAATATTTTTTAGTGTCTGGAAAATGAGCCGTTTCAAAAACCGCCAGGCTATAACGTCACCAATCAGCAGGCACTGCCCATTACCTAGCAACCCCACCAGAGTTCCACCCGTTACCTAGCAACCCCACCAGAGTTCCACCCGTTACCTAGCAACCACAGCAGAGTTCCACCTGTTACCTAGCAACCAACAGGTGGTTGCTAACCAATACAGTTTGGTCAACTGGTTTTTCTGCTGTACAATGGCTTCTGGAAAAGACAAGTGTTTTGTTGTCGACTTACCATCCAGAAACCTCTTACTGCATTCTTGTTGGTTGTGCAGGAGGCTCCACTTCTGCTTTTTAGAGATGTACGGTTTTATATGGGCATCTGTTTGCAGCCATTTTTCATGTGTGAGTTTAAATGTTGAGTTTGGGGCGGAGCAAGTTGAGCTTATCTACATCGAATTGTGATGGTTCGGGAATCTGATTAGGATGCAACCCCAAGGTTCAATCCTGGGGCCCCAAGATTAGCTGCCATAAATATGCAGATGATACACAGCTCTATGATACATGGTTCTATATTACAGTGCCACCAGGTGACTCTGAACCCATCCAAACTCCGAATAAATCAATGTGTAGATTGTCCAACATTTAATAGGACAAAAGTCTCATAAAGTGTCTCAATTGACTCTAAATCCAGTTTGAATCTAAAAAATATGAAAATATAGTACATATGTAACCTGTGGATTTAACCCCGTGACCTGAAGTATGGTAGGGGAAATGGATGATTTTGGCACAGATAAAGTTGTAGAATAGGGTTTGCTTGTTACTTTACCAAAGCTGTATTTCTGTGTTGAGCTGTGAGTAAATTCTCATTCCGGTTCTGTGGTTGCCATATTCCTCCAGAGTCTTAGTCCCAGCGGCGGCAAAGCTGGCGCTCCTGAATTTTGTTCGACATTTAAAGAAAGATGTCTCACCAGGAATGAGTCGTCGCCGTCTTGTAAAGGGTTTTTCATATCTAGAAAATGTAATTCCTCAAATTACGTTGCAGTACTTCATGCCGTCAGAACAAAGTTTGCAGCTGCTGATATTAGTTTAGTCTCAGCGTGAAGGGCTGAGGCTGCGCTTCACATTTATCTTTATAACTGGAGGCTGTGCAGCATATGCAGACCGCCGACTGTGTTCGCACTGTAAATGTGTGTGCTGGCAGATGTGTGTATTTGTTGGGGCTTGAAAATGTGAAGGTAGGTGGTGTGTATTCTCTAAACATCAATGAATAGTTTGTCCTTCGTGTGCAGCAGTCGGAGACAAAATTGAATCTTTCCTTTTCATTCCTGCTGGATGTCTGAATAGAGTAATATGCTTCACTCTTTCTGTCTCTCTCCCCTTGACAGAATGCCAAACAAAGGGCGACTTTCAGCTTTTAATTGAAATACTGGGTTGCATAAAATGTGACACACTCACATAGAAGTATTCCAATACAGAAGAAAACAGACATGCAGCTTTCAGACCCGACGTATGAATCTGTTCCCACTCCAAGGCCGTCAGATGCTGCTGCGCGCTCATGAACTCTGGGTCTGCTGGGTTTTATAAAAGCTTTTCTGGACTACAAAGCTGGCTCACCTCATGTTTTTTATTTTAATCTGTGCTGGAAAGCTGTTCAGTTTCCAAAGCAGTTAAAGACTGAGGAATCTGCAGCAACAGTAACTGCAATTCCATTACAGATTTTCTCAAATCTTTGTTTATTTTCCTCCAATGTCGAAAAAAACCCACAATTTTGTAATTGCTGCATTTTTATTGCACAAGAAATAAAATCAAAATCACACATGCGCTGTAAAAACACAAAATGTTACCAAGTATTCTTGTTTCCAGTGAAAATACTTTAAATACAACAAAACTAACCAACAGGTCACTTTTCAAGAACATGTGGGAGCTTTTTTAAGCAAATAATTCCTTAATATTGATGAAAAAGTATTAATTATTTTACTTATATCATTAGAAAAATGTCTTGTTATAAGTAAAATAACAAAAGTGTAACTAATACCAATATTAAAGGAATATTAACTTAAAACTAGCCACAGTGTCTTATGGCTTTTGTCCTAATTTAAGTGTAATAAAATATTTGCACCAAAAACTATATCAAAATGACTCAGTAAGATTTTTAGAAAGACTTGAAAAATGGCTGGGTGTTTTATGTGTGTTTTTAGAAGCAGTTGAGACCCAAATAGAAAGAAAAATTGTGAAAAATGCTAATTTTGCATAAAAGGTCTCTTTTAAACTTCTATTAGAGGTTCTAACAGGTAAAAAATGTAACAGAACTTTAAAAGGTCTCCAACCGAGTCGATTCTGCAGAACATAAAAACCAAAATCATCTGGTACCAGCCCCTATGTCTTGCGTAAAGCTTGCTTATAATTTATTTTTGTCTTATTTAAAGCGCACTAACATATTTGTACTGGAAACTAGAATGATAGAACGACAGAACGATAGAACGATAGAACGATAGAACATATCGGCAGGAGACATTTTTCCCATGTTGTAACTGAAATAATCTGCCAGTGGAACCAGAACTTTCTCATCAATATTAAGGAGTTATTGCCTTAAATAAAGCTCCTACATTTAGCTGAAAAGTTACTCATAAGTTAGATTTTTCTTATTTCAAGTGTAATAAGATATTTACATCAGAAACTAAAATACTTGGTAAGTTTTGCAGTGTGTTTAGTCCCCTTTCCTCAGAGTGCAACTAATTGGCTTTAGAGGTCTTGGTCTCATCTTAGTGCTAAAAACTTTTCATCAAAAAGTTTCCCTCTCTTGGTGGAACCAGCTGCCATCTTTGTTAGCATCACTATGGAGGAATTTTTACCTGTTCTTCTTTGCAGAACTGTTGAACAAAAAGAGCCGTCACAGGGAGGACGAGTCTTCTGAGGAAGAAAAAACTGCAATCCGTTTCAAGTTCACCAGTGGACACTTTTCCTTCCTCTTTAACAATCTTCCAACCCGAACAGACCTGCGAACAAATGGTTATAAAAGATTTACCATCATGACTTTGGGTTATTTTATTCATAGATTAAGAAGCAATTTCGTCAAAGTCTTTGAGAATTGATTGAAATCCATCAACACCATGAAAGAAGTTGGTAAATTTCCTACTGGATCCATAACACGTCTAAGCTGTGCTTTGTTTTATCTTTGTCCTCCATTTTTAGCTTCTCTCCATCTCACTCCTTCTGACCTCTTTCCTCATTATCCTCTTCAACCAGAAAATAAATAAAAAAGAAACACTGACCCTCATCTTCTCTGTCTTCCTTCTCCAATCCTTTCTTTTATCAGCTGCAGGATTTCAGAGATCACTTACGATCGCCCTTTGGTTCCAAACTGGCATTCTGCTGATGCTAACAAGCCATTTTTATAGAAACTTAAGTTTTTCCCCTCCTGTGCAATGTGACAACGGAGTGCTGAGGAGGAATAACTAATATTTAAAATGCCAAAATGCGGCTTTAAGATGACAAGGCTAAATTGGCTATTATTTTTCCTTCCTGTCCTTTCCGATCTGTCTCCATCTGCAGCTCCACCTTCTTCCAGTATTTTACTTCATTAAGGAAACACACACGCCTGTTGCTTGTGTGCATTTCTGTTTACTAACACTTTGAGTTATAATCACTGAGAATTTTAAGTCAAAACTGCTACACTAAAAGGTAATTTCAGTTTCTTGTTTCTTGGTCAAGTTGGGAATGTTTGCGTTGGAGTCCAGGTCCAGATGTTGGAAAGATGAAACTTTGACCCACTTCTGGCTTTTGTTAGTCCTCAACATTCTCCTTCAGGGGTGTCCAAACTTTTCACACTGTCAGCCAAAGTCACCAAGTTCACAACACTGATCGGCCCTATTTTTCTCCAGTTAAAAATGCCAAATCATTTGATTGCAAATCTTTCACTTTTGTGATTTAAGCGTCCAATATTACCATGACAATGAAAGATTCTTTAAAGAAAATTGCAGTTTTCCAACAGTTTTTGTTGAAACAAAACATTTTAAAGAGAAAGAACTTAAAGCAAGCTCATATCTCTTGCTGAAAAGTTACTTATAAATTAGTTTTGTCTTATTTCAAGTATAGTAAGACATTCACACTGGAAAGTAGACCAAAAATACTTGGTAAGATTTTGTGTTTTTGGTTTTAGTCAAACTCAGCAACAAAAACAAGAACTTTCTATTAAAATCCTTGCTGTTTTTACTAAGTTTAATGACTGGAAGCCAAAGTCTCAACTGTTTCTAAAAACAGCCCAAGTACTTAAAAAAACACCCAGCCATTTTTTGGCAATAATTTAATGTTTTAATGTCTGGAAAATGTTTCAAAAACCTCCCGATTGTTAAGTCACATTCAATGAGCAATGCATTGTTACATAGTAACCCCAACAGAGTTCCGCCCGTTACCTAGCAACCCAAGCTGAGTTTGGTCAGCTGGCTTTACCACTGTGTGTGCTGTACAATGGCTGCTGGAAAAGAAAAGTGTTTTGTTGCTGACTTACCATCCAGAAACCAGTTGTTGCATTCTTGTTGGTTGTCCAGCAGGCTTCACTTTTACTTTTCAGAGATGTACGGTTGTATAGATGGGCATCCGTTTGAGCCATTTTCACATCCATGTGCAAACGTTGAGTTGGGCAGCATGGCCACCAGCAGCTTAATGGCATTTAAAGTGACAAGACACCTAAAACAGCTCAAATAGGAAGAACTGAGCAGAATAAAATCTCATTATCTCAGAATGATTTTGTGAAAAAAAAATGTAATGAACATGTTTTACATAGACCTACACTGTTCAAGGAAGAATAAAAGTTCACCTTTCAAGTTATTGGCTGATTTTCAAAACCTGAGTGTGTGTGGCGTCCAAAAACTACACATCGCACTTTATGCATAAGATGGGAAATCTCCAGAAATCTTTTGAGACCAGACATGAGTTCAGAGTAAACAAACATGGCCGACGGGGAAGAAGCAATGGCAACAGTTTGGGGATTATTTTTAACAGAGAAAAAGCAAAACAAAAAGACGTCTCCGAAATCCACCGGACGTTTTGGTCTTTCTCTTCTGCCTTTTGGGTTCACCTCTGTGTTTCTATTTAGGAAAAGGGAAAAACTTTAAAAATATGATGAAACTGAACTTTATTTTAGGTTTGGAAGACATTCTCAGTAATTTACTTTGCAATAAAGTTCTTTTTAAACTAGTT